AATGAAAACTGAAATCAGCTTCATAAAGCCCACAGATTCTAGAGTAACCAGACAAACAATGTAAAAGAACTATAAGGTTTATGTTTAAAGAATAAAAAATAGTAATGGCAATATTTCTATGGAGAAAGAGAGTAACAAAATTGATCACAATGATTTGCCAAATGGTTAAATAGAACTTTTACAAAATGGAAAATAAAATAATTTCAAATCCAAAGGACAAATCAAACATCATAATAAACATAAATGCAGGAGAATGATAAACCGAAAGATAAATCAGAAGAAATTATATAAAATTTAGTATACAGAGAAATAAAAATATTAAAAAGAATTCAAGACATATGGTAGTGAGATCACAAAATTGTACTTTTAAGAAAATTATAGCTTCAGAAACATAAACTTACCCAAGGCTATAGTGCTTTTCTTTTGCATTCTAGGAAATTAATTCTATAAAAAAAAAATGAAACAGACTTTTGAAGATACAAGAACCTGTAAGTTAGGCCTGTGTTTTTACTATAAATTGTGCTTTTCTGCAATTCACAAATTCCACAGGCTTCTACCATCAAGGAAATAGCGATATTAATTGCATACCATATTAGTAAACCTCAAACATGGAAATGGTCTGCATTCTAACCTAACCCACTAAAGGTAGCTGGCCAGACACCAGGAACACACAGCCTAGATCATCTGTCTTGAGACTACTGCCCAAAACACATAAATACTTCCAGCTCAAGACCATAATGTACTCCACCCTTCGGCACCCACATTCTATTTTCTGTGTGTGTGTGTTCTTCTTTAACTCTGCCTAATAAATCTGCTTGTGCCTCTCACTGACATGTCCTGAAATTGTCTTCTGTGACTAAGTTCATGAACTTACAACCTACTCCATGGGTGGGATGAGTTAATATTACCATCTCCTCTTTGAAGAAACCTCCTCAGTCTCTGTCTGGTTGTAAAAGGATGAAAATATCTGACACATCTTTAATTATATTTCCATAAGAAGAGAACTGAGAGGATGAAGAGAAGGGAATCCTGGGAAAACTAACAAACTGAGCAGCTTCCAAAATTAATGACAAAATAAAGTCTTCAGATTCTAGAATCCCATCAGTTAGAAAAGCAGAAATTTAAATCTCAAGATGTCAAATGAAACTATAGAACACCAAAGACAAAAATAAAACCAGAAAAACATCCCAATGAAAATGAAAAATTACTTTTAGAGGACTTACAGTAACATTAAGAGTTTCCTTCTCCACATCCTGCATAGATGCTAGTCTACACTAGAATCACATCATTGAAATCTTTTTTTTTTTTTTTTTTTTTTGCATCAGGGGTGAGAGGGGGTATAATAGGGAATTGAACCCAGAACCTCAGGAGCTAAGCCACTGAGCTAAATTCTCAGCCACTTCTTTAAAAATCTTAGAAAAAAAATATTTTCAAACTATTGTCACATACCAACAAAATTATAGTTGACAAATGAGAGTGAAAAAATATTTTTAGGAGAATAAAAACCAATAGAATTTACATCTAGTAGAACCTCATTCAGTGAATCTTAAAAGAAGATACTTTGAAGGAGAAAAATGACCTTAGAGGCAGGATCTGAGATCCAAAAAGGAAACTGTAGGTGAATATAAACAAACACTGATTGTATAAGAAAAACTCGAAGAAGTAAAATAATCCTAGAGAAGGAAAATATATAAAATTAGTTAAAGTATTCTCAAGTTCTAATATCATTCAGGAAAGTAATAAAGATACTAACTCTCAGCTTTGCATTCTATATAGATACTTAAATGTATAACTAACTCTACAAGTACAAACAAAAATATGACTTCCAAACTTGTAGAGAGAAAACAGAATAAGATCAAAAAAATGACATAATTAAAAACTGAAAGAATTTGTTTCATAAAAATTTAGCATCAAAGTAAAAAATAAAATGTCTAGTTATAAAAAGTTAAAACGTGCCACAGCGATATATGTACATCCATGCACAATGGTCATAGCTGTGTCTTGGAAACACCCCAAATGCTCATCAGCTGAAGCATGGATAAAAAATTGTGGTATTTTACACAGTGGAGTATTTACTAGGCTATTAAAAAAAGATAAACTGGAGTCTTTTATAGGTAAATGGATGCAACAAAAGACCATCCTTATAACTTAAATAAATCAGACCCACATGTGCAAACATCGTATTGTCTCACTAGAGTAAGAACCTGAAAAAGTAAATAAAATTTGAAAGGTACAATAGATACTGTGAAAGGGAAAGAATCTATTCAAAGAGCAAGAATAACTGAGGTGGGAAAAAGACTAAAGAAGGAAGAGAAAAATGCACATTTATGTATATATACAAGATAGCTTGTATGACTGTACTGCCAATTTCTCAGGCCTACTGAAAGGAACAGTTAACGTTTCTTTCTTCTCATTTTTAATTTCTTAAATTTTTTTTACCAATTTGCATGCTTATATCTGGTAATCTGAACAACTAATTTGAAGACAACATTATGCAATATAGCCATTGTTGAATTTCTATTCTTTTGTTTAGTGAAATTGTGTAACATTTCTAATGATTTTTTAACATTTTTATTCTCTTTAAAAATAAAACATATTAAGAGATTTACATAGCATTAAGCTACTAACATAACTAATAGGAAGCAAAACTTATCAAAACTGAAAGGAGAAATCAGCAAATTTACCATTAGTAATTGATTAAACAGACAAAAGAAGGTAAGAATGAAGTTGCTGAAAATCACACAATTGAAGAGAATGTTCTAATGGACTTAGTAATGTGTTAACTCAGCATCCACAAATTGTACGCAAGCATACATGTAGCATTTATGAGAACTAACTGTATATGAGGCCGTTTGATAAATACTAGAAGCACCATGCAGGTCACATTCTCTCAACACAGCTGAATTAGAATTTGCTTTAGAGTCTTTATTGGAAGAGGCATGTAGTTGGATGTTATTGTTTTGATTCACTGTGACAATCTTCATCCCTAGTAAAATTTATCCTGTCAGTGTTTTATTATATTATATTCATAGTCACTGATATGACCATGAATCTGAGGAACTTAGAATGCTTATTTCATGCAAATTTTAATTTCTATTTGGAAAATGGTGACTTCTATAGCTATTTATTATAAGTAACTGATTAAATAGTTAATGTGCCATGAGTTATTTAATGTGTGCCTTGTTTATCCTAGTGCTTCACTGAAAGTGGATAGTAACAGTGCTGCTACTTCTAAGGCTGCTACTGTTATCAACTTTTAATGTCCTGACCCTTGCCAAAAATTGTGTACTGAAAACTACTGTGCTTATTGTACAATTAGTAGGATTATTTATTTTTAAAGGCAGAAAATAACAAGGGTTAACAAAGATGTAGTGAAATTGGAGCCCCTGTATGTTGCTGGTGGAAAGGCAAAATGGTGCTCTGAAATGGTATGATTCTTCATAAAAAGAGAATCACCACATGGCCCACCAATTGGACTTCTAGGTGTGTACCTTAAACAAGTACAGGCAAAGTTTGAAGGTCTGAATGGACATCCATATATTCATGATCATAGTAGCATTACTCAAAATAACCAAGAAACAGAAGCAACCCAAGTATCCACAAACTGATGACTTGATAGATAATTGCAATGTATCCAACCAATGATGGAATTTTATTCAGCAATGGAAAGGAGTGAAGTGCCAATACTTGGATATTTTATGAATACACTTCAAAAACTAAATGAAAAGATTCAGCCACAAAAACATGGTGTGTTTCTACTTATAAGAGCTACCTAAAATGGCTAAATTCATAGGGACAGGAAGAACTATATCATGGGGCTTCTAGGAATTGAGAGAACAATAGTATAAGGAGTCACTGTTTATTGGGGTTATGGAAGATAACCCCAATCTTGGGAAGATGAAAAATTTCTAGAGATTGATGTTAGTTATTATTATGTGAACATGCTTAATATCACTGAATTCTACATACACAATAGGTTAAAATGGTAAATTTTATTTTGCATATATTTTACCACAATAAAAAGTGATTATTGTGTTTATGTCCAGGAATAGTCTATCATTTTTCTTTCTTTTTTTTGGAGGGGGAGGGGGCTGCTCAAGATGCCTTCAGGGCAGTCTGGTTTGGCTTGAGCACGAGGGGATCGAACCACAGCATCCTGAGCCTGTATTGTTTCAGCAGGCACTTAAACACCTGAGCTAATGGGCAAGTTCCCTATGTTTTTTTTTTGTTTGTTTGTTTTTTTTTTTTTTTTTCAGAACCAGGGCTTGAACTCAGGCCCTTGCACTTGCCAAGCAAGTGCTTATTCTAATGAGCTATATCCCTGGCCCTGTCATTTTTCTTAGGGTATTGATATTTTAAAAATCGGTCTTATGGCTTCGATACAATAATTAATCTTAAGGGTTTTTTTTTTCTTCCTCGAATGCCTTCAGGGCACTTTTGGCCAAGGGGACAGTTGTGAGGTTCGAACTCCAGCAACCTGAGGCTGACAGCTTTGTGGAAGCAGCCACTTAAAGGACTGAGCTAGGGCCAGGCCCCCCACAATAATTAATCTTAATGCTTTAAGAGAATTTAAGGGCCAGGGATATAACTCAGCAACATAAGCACTTGCCTGTACTCTTTAAAATATACAAAACACAAAATAAAAAAAAAAGCAACGGACCCTGCTTTGAAGACCTTGCAATTTAGTGGATGTAGAGGACAAACACACCAATGCACTCAACTGCTCCCACTGTTGCACATATGTATTCTTCCAACCCTTCCTTCTAGCTCTTTAGCAAGATCTACTTGTCCTCTAAAACACAGTTTGAATCTGTCTTCCTTTTAGAAAAGCTTGATTTTGCATTTGAGAGATGACTTAATTTATGCTCAAAGATTAGAACGCTTTTTTTCTCATTCATTGCCTGATTATTGTGATGATTTCTCCACTCACTTGAAATGTGGAGTGATGTTTCCATGTGACTTACTTTAAGACATATCCTTGTGTTTCTTTCTTACCACAGAGTCTTCAGAAATCGGGCCTTCCCTGGTGGTTCATACCACAGTACCATTTGGAGTGACATACTTGGAACACAGCATTGAGCATGTACAGGAGTTAATCCTTCAGCAGTTGGAAAACATTTTACCAGGTTTGCCTCCACCAGTTGCTACCACATGCTACAAATGGAGACATTCACAGGTAATCCAATACTTCAGCTGTGTGAGCCACATTTTCTTCGTAGCACAGCAGAACTGACTATTTCATCCTTTGCCACACTTTAGTAAAATAAATAAACATGGGATCTTTGAAGCAAATATTTTTGCATAACATGTACATAACAAGTCTATAGGTTTCATTGTTCTACTATTTCTCAGTAAGAGGAATGTACAATTTATATCAATGTCCTGTCAAAATTCTGGCATCATAAGGCATGCACCTGAAATTCTGGGGTTTCCTATGCAAGCAAAACAGGTTATATATCAAAATTCAACTGTTTCTCTGGGGTTTTTCTAAATCAGTACTGTGGCAATATAGAAACCACTATAATCTCCCCAAACTTTTGCAGACTGTCAAATTAACCTTGTAAGTGTATTTTGCTACCCTATTTTCATTTCTATTAAGTTCCCACTTTGGTTTAAGTGCTGCCAACAGAAGTCTTTAGGGGAAAAAGGTGAGTACCTGTGTATACCACCTAGTTGAGCTGTTTCCCAGGGCTAGATAAACCTACTGATGGCTCCACTACCTCAAACTCAAGGCTCTTTATATTAAGTAAATGTTGACTTTTTGGAAAATCTGTACATAGTACAGCAGAAGCTTGTGGTATTTCGAGAAAAGAACTTTTGCTATGTAAATCCTGTTGTTAAGGCATTTGGGGATTAACGGAATGAAGGGTAGATGGAGGAAAAAATGCTGTGAGTTGTCTGTGTGTTTTTTGGTTTGTTTTTGTTTTTTTCCTGAAATTTCTAAGTCCTATGATTAACAGATTTATCTGCACTACCGGTTGTCTAAGCTGTGAGCCCATTAGAAAAACTGGTATTTTGGAAAATGCAGAAGATTTTGTGTATTTTAAAGAGCTTTCCAAAATTAAGAAATGGTAAATTGCTTTCTAAAACATTGCAACAGTCTATGTGTTTATTCATATCTTCTCAAGTTAAATTATACAGAGAACCTTTGGGGAAAATATTTACTTAAACATGTCATGGTTCCTTTACAAGACTGTTTTTTTTCCTTTTAAAAGCATTAAAAACCTTAATGGTGAATGTCTTTAAATCATCTTTAACTCAATTTTAGGTTAGCTTGAAAAAGAAGTCAGGGAGATAATCTTATAATTTAAAGCTAGATATGTTATACATTGTGTCACTTTGAAATTCTTAAGTACTCTTTTAAACAATAGTTTGTAAAGGGCCAGGAGATAGCTCAGTGGCCTAAGTGCCTGCTTGGCAAGCACAACGTCCTGGGTTTGATCCACAGTGCCAAAAAAAAAAAACCCATAATAGTTCATAGGATTTCTTTTCACATTTTCTCAAAAATAATTTATTGATAAGTTGAAAATGTCTTAAAATGTTCTTATTTCTTAAAATTAGAATTATTAATAAAATAGATTTATTATAATCATAAAATGACTTATTCAGTTGTGTAGTATCACAAAATTTAACTTAAATAATTCCTTTGAACACAATATATATTCAAATCCTCACAATAATTTTTCTTACAATTTGGATGGTGACATTATCACTATATTTACAACTCTCTTAAAACCTACATTGCCTACAAAGTCTAAAATAAGCAAAAAAATAAAAATAAAAGGGAATAAGTTATTCAAATGTAGGAGTTTGCATTTGCCATTATTCATATAGTTCTCTAGGTATCTTGAACATTTCACCAAATATAACATTATTATCTGTAGCAGAGATCTTATTAATGCAGTTTCTATGCATAGCACATCACCCTAGGAAATAGATTAATGAAAGGTCAGGAGATTTAAAATGGTTGAACTATTTAGTTCACAGTGCCTCTTCTCAAAGGGACAATTCTCCAACCCCTTTTAAGGGCTGATCTTAACCTTTGGAATTTAACAGAAATGTATACACCCTTGCCATCTGAGTATATAGCATAAGCCTAGGGATACATATTTAGAAAGGAGCAACTTGCTAGTTTTTAAGTTTCCCTGCATCTGTGTAGAGGTATAATGCCCTTGCAGGAGAAATCCTGCCCATATTTTCCTGCAGTCTACATTTCGCCTACTGTTCCTTTTCCTTTCCTCCAAGAAATGCTAAGTGGTATGGATTCCCCAACATAGACCATGCAGGCTTGACACATTCTGTGTTAATTTTATTTTTCTTCTTGTTCTCTTTTTTGTAATCCTTATACTATATCCTGGCATCAAATGCTGTGCAGGATGGGGAGAAAGAAGAGAAGGAAGATGAATAACTATATAGTGCCAGGCCTGGGCTGGATAAGTTGAAGATGTTATCCAATTTACTTTTAAATACACCCTCATAAAGGACAGTAAGATATGCTACATAAGTAGAATGACCAAAAAAAAAAAAAAGGACACCAAGCAACAACAACTATAATTTACTGCTTATGAATTATAAAATAATATAGACTTTGGGAAGACAGTTTAGTAATATCTTAGAAAACTAGATACATATTTACTATGTACTCCAGCAATCATCCTCCTTGGTATTTTATGCAAGGAGGTTGAAAATTTATTTCCACACACAACCTGCATGTCAATGTTTATAGCAACTTTATTCATAATTGCCAAAACTGGAAGCAACAAAATATCCCTCAGTAGATGAACAAATAAACTGTAGTACAATGGGATATTATTCAACACTGAAAAGAAATGAACTATCAAGCCATAAGAAATTGTAGAAGAAATTTAAATGCATATTACAAAGTAAAAGAAAAAATTCCAAAAAGACATTTGTATGATTCTAACTATAAGGCAAAACTAAGGAGACAGTAAAAAAATTAGCGATTGCCAGATGTTGGAAGGGAGAAAGAATGACCAAGTGGAGCAAAGATTTTTGTGGTAGTGAAAAACACAATGATGCACATATATCATTATAAACATTTCTCCAAACCCACAGAATGTACACCCCCAAACATAAGTGCTAATGTAAACCATGGATTTCGGGTGATATATGTGTGTCCATGTACCTTCACTGGCTGAGACAAGCACACTGCTGTAGTGGAGGTACTGACAAGAGCTGCTGTGAATGTAGGGGAAGCAAGATATGTAGAGAAGTTCTGTTCCTCTCAATTTTGTTATGAACAGAACTGGTTGCGTTTTTCTGTTTCCTATTGCTATGTGGTGTGATAAAGAGAATACAGTGAATTTTTAGTGTTTTATTCTAATTAAAAATTTATTACAGTGAAAGATACATTGCCATTAATCTCATCATAACACACCCCTCACTTTGAACACTCTCGCACCACCACTCTCGCCACTCTCTGAAGCTGTTTTGCAGGTCCTCTCTTGTGGCTTTTTGTGGCTGCTTCCATGTCCTGAATCAATTCAAAGTGCTTACAGCAATTTCTGTCAAATAAAAACATAATGGTGTGTCCTCATCCACCTTATTCTAGCACTCTACAACTCTGGCTCTTTCCCAAAGTCAAAATAAGCATGACAAACATTTTAAATCAGTGTAGGACACCTAGGAAGCTCCAATAGCACAAAGAAAGAAGATGTCCAGACTGCCTCAGAAGTGCCAAGAACCATAGGATAAGTGTTCACAGCAAACTGGAGTGCTTTGAGATTTGATGGCCATGTGCCTTCTACTTTAATAATCTTTAAATATTCACTGCATATTTGATTCCACCTCATATACTGAAATACCTAAAACTACGTAAGTTATTAAGCCAGGGATGCACCTCAGGGGCACAACACCTGCCTGGCAAGTTCAAGGTCCTGAGTTCAATTGCTGGTACCAAAAAATAAATAAATTGTTAAGTCCTTTATGAGCTGTTTTGAAAGCTTAAAATCTGAAGCACATGGCCCTGGCCCCATTGTCTTTCTCACCTCGCGGTGGATATCATCACAGTGGTGAGAGCACATTCGAGAGGGGACGACACATAGTGAGGCATCATCTTGGAGACAGACTCTTTTATAACAACTTAGGCTCAGAAAAAGTCCCACAAAAGCTTCTCATCCCTTCTGAGGACAGAACCCCAACAACCAGCCTCTTCCCAGGAAGCCCCGCTTCTCCAAGATTCACGCCTCCCCACACTGGGAGACAACCTTTAGGTCCATGAACCCTGGGGCCATGCCCAGAAACCATAACACTGCTTTTGTTTAAAGGCATTATAAAAATAAAAAAATTAATATTTTTTAAGTATATACTGGCCCAGTCCTAGCCCAGGTCCGGTGAGTGTGTGGAGAGCTTCCTGCTAACCTGCGCCGGCGGGACAAGTCCCAGCCCAGGTGCAGCGTGGACCGGACCCTCTCCCACCCCCTCGGGTCGCCCCCCACCACTCCGCCGTACCTCCCTCACCCCTCCTGCCCAGTAGGAATTTTTGCCGATTTCTGGGAACCCCCAGACCCAGTCCTAGCCCAGGAATTTCTGCCGACTTCCGGGAACCCCAGACCCAGTCCTAGCCCAGGTCCGCAGCACGAAGGAGCTGACCACATCACTCAGACCTAAGCCAGACGCAGCTGGATAACTCCAAACTCTGTAGAGCTCCAACTTCAGTACGTGTGAAGGTTATAACTACAGCAAAGATCTACAAAAAGGGCAGAAGACAGTGCTACACAAAATGACGAGAAGGAACAAAATGCAACCTCAGAACCCAAGCCCACCCGTAACAAGTGCAGAGGA